GACTTATCTAAATACGAAAATGGCAAAAGAAAAGTTGTAACAAATAAGGTTTTATTGTTACATTTATTGAACTACATCTTATGTTAAAATATTTAATATCTATTTAACAAATAATTTCAGAATTTCTTAACCCTGTAAATCGACTATATTTATATTTATTAAACAATAAAACAATTTTAATAGTTACCTTATTATTATTATAAAATAAATAAATATTATTAAAATTTAATAATAGAATTATTTATTTAAAGTTGATTAAATTAAGAAGGAGGGGAAAGTAAAAACATTAAATAATTTAAAAATTATATATTATATTAATATATATATATATATATAATTAAAGTTCATAAACGTCCAAAATTTTTCCTCCAATTTGCTACACCTTGTGGCTCCAATCATTAACTGGATGTTGGATTCCCCACTTACCCTGATGCATCCACACCAATCCAAAATAATCGAATTCAGTCACCTCATCAAGATAAGTGGGGTTGAGGAATTCTTCCATTAATAATCTTAAATTTCTCCTTTCTCTTCTTACAATTTCAAATGAATGCATGCTAAAAAATATTAATATATTAATTAAAATCAAAAATTAAAGAAAAAAACTTAATAAACTTACATGAGTTTTTAAACACACAACCTCTAATGAAATAAAATTTTTTAGGATGTATTTTTTAGGATGTATAAAAAATAATGACTCATCGGTGAAAAGGATATTTCGTGTAAAATTTTCATCTCGGTTCGCCATTTCTATAACGGTTTCGCAAAATTTCATGCGACGGTATGGATCATCAGGAAATTGCTCATTACTCCTCTTTAATTTGTATGGGTGATACCCATGCTTTCTTAAAATTTTGCCTACCCTAGACCGTGTTAGGTCGAACTGTTCGGCAACTTGACTGGGTTGGATCTTGTTCGATGCTTGCACAAATTAAAGTGTCCCGTAATTCGCGTTCTTCGTTTACCGGCCTTGCTTGCGGTTCCCTATTATGAACCCTATTAACACTGCCGAATGTTAAAACATTATTTACAACATTTTAAATTGCTGCCCTTGCTGGGAAGGGTCTATTTTGGAACATATTTGGAAATAATCTTTGAATTTCTCGATCTGAGATCCCATTTAAATGCCACGTTATAAATTGAATCTTTTCTTCAAGGGTGTAAACCATTTTTATTAGTCTCTCCACCAACACGCATTTGTGTTTATTTATTAAACGGCCTAAGAGCACATTACCATCCCTGTATATTATCGTTAATAAAATTCCAGTTATCGCTGTCTGAATTAAGAACTGCTTATATGCGTGAGGTATTCTGTAAAGATTAAATTCTCGTTTAAAATATATACTCTTAACGTTGTCTAATTGCAATCTCATCGAAAACAAGTGAACACACCAATGCATTTTTATTGGAATGTGTTACTTTTGATCTAAAAAATTATACTGCCTCAGAAGTGAACCTGGCTTACCAATACTGAATCAGCATTTACTGAGGAGTACCATTTTGATAATGTTTTTGGATGAGGTAAACTTTTATGAAACTTTTCTCTAACATAATTATATGCTTTAGGTGAAAAAAATTGTAAAGTTACTGCCACCCCTAATTGATTGCTCAAACTTTCATCTCATTTTTTTATTTTGTTTTTTTTTTTGAAACAGTCTTTGAACAATGTCTATTTGAATAAAATTGTTGAAAATATGGAATATGTATACCAAATTAATCTTGTTGAAATGCCAAATCCAACTGTTTCTTTATTTAATTAATAATCATGGTGCATACACCGCTATTTGAGCAATAGGGAACTATTGTACATTTGCCTTGAAAACCGAAAAAGGAAGAATTTTTCTGTCTCTTTTGTTTGGTAAAAAGTCTTTTGGTATCTCTTGTTTGTTCTTATGTAACGTTCCTACATATGTAATCTTTTTTCCATTCAGTAGGTCATTGACCAAGACGATACTTGTCTCCGGTTATATTTCGGTTGCTACCTTGGACTGGTTTTATCATTCTCATAACAACATTCTTGGCATTGTTACTCTGTCATCTTTGCTATTTTTTTCGGTTTCAGTTTTATCGCCTGAGAAAATCTGGTCGATTTCAGAAATATACTGCTCTGAGTCTGTTTGGTGATCACTTTTTATAGTCATACAAACTCAAAAGTTGATGATAGAAAATAAGTTATAATACAAATTTTTTATAATTTTTTAATTGCCTCTTTCTTTTTTTTTTAACTTTTTATATCTTTCTAGAGCCATAAACTTAATTGGATCGTTAATATTTCGTGTGTCTGTACCTTTTAAGATTTTATTTACATTCTTTGTCCATACAAACAAGTAGAAAGATAAAAACTTTAAAGTTAAAGTTATGCTTTTCGCAAAAAAAAATCAAGAGGAAGAAATTGATTGATCCTTACTCTTATTTTTTTGCAAATCGTTCTCATATGCTATTTTTGGCAAAAAGTAATGAACAACTTCGTGGCACATTCCAAATATTTTAGTAAAATTGGTATTAGGTCTCAAAAGTGCCTTAGGCCCATAAGGATATACTCCTTTTCCGACCTGGTTGTGGTTAATTCTTCTTTACAACAAATACACTGCCCTATTCTTTTCATTGAAGTTCGTTAAAAATTTAGATGTTTCTTCAGTAAACACTTGTGGTTTTTCTAAAGAAACAGCAGGCTCTACAGTTACATTGCAGGATACAAAATTCTTTAAAGAATTAAGTGCTCCTTCACTTTCATCCTCCTCGCAATTTGCATCTGGAGCCAAGACAAAATTGCTTATAATTGGGCTTTTAAAGGAGGCAGTGAAGGAGCTGGAGTAGGATTTATATCCCTTACTTCGTGGCTTCTTATACAACCATAGAAAATTTCAACAGGATCTTGGTTTAAATTTCTTGTTCAAAGAAATTCAAACTTCTTCCTGTTGAGATTTCTACAGATATATTTACGAAGTGTTGTGATCCAATTTTGTATTGTTGGGGGAACAAAATCCTTTCCTTTTCTTTAAAGTTTAAATGTTTTAAGGTCACCAAAGGCTTCATCCCAAGATGTGGGGGAGATTATTTCCTGCATCCTTTAACATTTTACCATGTTTTGGCTTCATTAGTGATCCATTAACACTATCAAAAATAGCTTGTTTATGGACATTAAAAAATTTGCAGTCCCTAATGCATTCTGTGAAAGGCATTCGTTTCCTAAAATCAAACCTTGATTTGTTATTTTTATATAAGTTATTAAAGAACTTACCATATTTTATAGTTGAAGATACTCTATGTGAGAATACTTGTGCTGCATGTTTTACCTTCATTTTTTTCATTTTGTCTTTGTAGATGTAGGCGTCTGTTAATTTATTTAACATTCTTGTGTCAAAGTCGCCCCCATCTAATTCATAGAGACTTTGAACATGGTCTCATGATGCAGTTTGTGTTTCCCCCTCTTTCCATGTAATTGGCTAGTTTTTATTTGAAATCCCTGTATTTATTTCTATTCACTAAAATGATGCATGATGCATGTAACAAAATGGCTTAAAAAATGTACCTCCAAAAAATCCTCGTCTATTTTAATAAAGGACAGAAAAAATGCACAGAAAACGAAACAGTAAAAACTCAAAAAAACACTATATTTAAGCTTAACGACATATACCACACAAACGTAAACAAACAATATAAATGGCGGACGAGAACGCTTGTTTATTTGTAAAATAAGCAATGCGCATGGGCAACTCATGCGTATTATGTCAAATTAGTGCCATTTTCGCAAAATATTAAATTAATCCCAAGCAGTGAAAGACATTGTCAAATTATCGCCATAAATACGAAACTCATAAATTAAATGGATATCTGAGTACTACAATAAATAACCACTTGTAATGGTTCATACAGTTCCCGAATTACTATGGAAGATTTCCTACAAGTTGTTACTCGTGTGTAATTATTACTTAAAGATAAACAAAAAGAACGCTGATGCAGTCATCAAAATTTGAATTTGAATTTCAATCAAGTCACATGGTTTACCATTTAATTTATTCGTTCCTACAAGATCTACAGATAAACCAAATATCTTTAAGCCCTAAAAGAAGATAACAGTATCCAATGAAACATAAAAATGAGTAATAAGTGGAACTTCTTATTTGCTCATTTTTCCCTTCGAATTTCTTTAATTTTTTGATTTTTTCTCTTGCACTACCAAGAAATTACATTTTTCCTTTATTATTTTTATGTTTACTACACAACATCCATTCAAAATCAATTTTATCCTTCATCATTTTGACAACTAAATCAAATTTTATTGTTCGAATTCCTCTTTTTACTGGGATAAATTCTTTTTTTCTGACCATTCTTTGATTCATATATACATAAATATTATGAGATTAAAACTTTCAGAGGCTAATGTCAAATTATACAATTTACAATTATTTTTTCCTAATGCCTTTCATGATAAAACTAGCAACATACGCTACAAAGCTAGAAGAAACAACAGCTGCAATGTCGTCAGAGGTCGCCTCCAGAAGTCCACAAAATATTTCATCATAACTTCTTGTTTTCTTAAAACTCCACTTCTCCTTCATCAACTTTTAAAAATTGCTTCAGATTGGTTATCAGCACATATTCATCTGCCAACCATCTTATTTGCAGCCAGTCTTTTAAAAGTCCAGCATTTTATTTTTTAATAAAAGCAACTAACCTGTGACAAGTGACATCCATAAAGTTCATTTTTTGATTACCATACGTCTGCCGTATGCATGTATGTAACATGTGCACATTTGACCAAATCCGTTTTTATTACTCTGATTATATTTTAAAACATTTCTCTACAGAAACTGATCTCCCTAGTACATTCAGATCCATTTCATAAAAAATGTCAACAAAGCTTCGTTAAGATACAAGTAATATGGGTATCACCTACGAGACTTCTGGTTCACACAGTAGAAGGACATGAATTGATCAAAGGCAGTTGACAGGCTTACGAATCCCTTAATTATTTCTTCGGAGCACAGTGGTTATTGCTAATGCATCGTGCATAGAAGACGCAACTTTGTTCGAAGATCTTTCCATTTTGCTACCGATATGTCACCTGCTTGAACAAAGTCATACTCCGTTTTCCTGGGTTCACTGTCTTTTTTGATACAGCCATTTGGATATTCTTTCCGATTCTGCCTGATTGACCCGTAGGCAAATGTATTTTTCTTCAGCAAGTGATTGATGAGGTATGCTGCTGAAAAAGTGAAAAAGCAGTCACTAGTTACCTAGACCCAAGGATGGATTGTCTTTGTTTTTGACAGTGTAAATATTAAAATTAAGCAAATAGCCACTTTCTGAACAACAGCATGCCAAAACCTTAAAACCGCGTTTTATCGGTTTTCAATCTCATTTAGCAACTGAACTTCTGTGAGAGGCCTTTTTGAGCTATAGGGGCTTAGTCAACCTTTTTGAATTTTGTAATCACAATTTGAACTAAATTTCCTTGACCATAATATTAATATGTTGATTTACATGAAAGAGACACTGCTATCTGATTACTCTTCCCTGAGATGGTTTTTGATTTTATTTGATTTTTTATTTTTGTTTTCTGTCCGAAATAGCCTTTGTTTTTTGATTTTCTTATTATGAGGAATCTGCAGTTTATCCCTAAGAACGGTTTGAATATCGAAATTATCTTTTGCAACTGAAACTTTTAACATTGCTTCTACTGAAGCAACTAATTTCTTTAGAACATTAAATTGTGAGTTTGACGTAATTGAATCCACAACACTACAGAACCATCTCTTCATTTCTTCTTTTTTTAGTTGCAAAGTTATGTCCTGTGAATCATTTGAGCAAGTCTCTGGATGTCTGGGGTCGATATAAATGTGTAGGTCATCGTTTTCATATAGTCCTTTTCATATTGTTATTGAATAGGCATAGTTTCATCTAATCTTCACAAGTTTCAACTTAAAATTACCTTTTAAGTGTATATATTTTAAAACTGTATGCATGGACTCAAGGTCAAATCGAATCGAAATCTAGCAGCCCACACATCTTGGCACTCTTTCTCTAGATAGTCCTTAAATATTCGTTAAATATGAAATATATTTTTTATACCTCTTGCCTCTTTAAAAATGGTTGGTGGATTTTTTGGAAAACGCCTTCTATCCTTTAATTTAATTATGTTATTAATTTGGGTTAAAATATTAAATATGTGTTAGGGTAATCCCCTTTTACCAAAGTAGGACAGCCGACCAATAAAAGCACGTGTTCCTACTGACCAAGCTTGGCACAGCTTATAAATCGAATGGTAACGCAGAGTCTGTGCAGAGCATTTGTACAAGTCGAATCATAGCAGCTCATTTTTTTTTTAAATTTCTTAATAAATTTTTTTTCTATAATATTCCTTGTTTCTTTTAAAAAGATTTTCAATATCATTGATTTATTCTTCCTTACCTGAAAAAATAGAGTTATGACATTCCTTGCAATTACAATTTTTTTGGATATACATAGGGTCGTTTGGGGTAATTGTGGACGATATTTTAATCTTTAAGTTTCTTATGGTATTTTGTTAACCCATTCTTGAATTTCAAGTTTATAAATTTGTATATATACATAGCTTATAGTCTCTACTTCAATAATTCAATATTGTTTTTACATCACCAGAGCACAATTTTTGTGAAAAAAAAACAAAGACACTATGTCACCCTGTTTACAATTACCCCTATTCGATAGGGGTAATTGTAAACGCGCTGCTGCGTTATAGTTAATTATATTAGTCAAAATGCTGGGGCAAATGTAAACAAAGTATAAAGTGACTGTTTAGCAGGAATTTGTTTGATTAAAAGGTGTGTTTACATTTACCCCAGAATAACGAAGTAAAAAAGTTTTAAACGAAATATTTTTATGGGTGTTTATTATAGAAGTGGAAAAATATTTAAACTTAAACTAGTATTGTATACTACTTACAGTAACAAATTAAAAGTGATTTATATAACTAAAAAACTTGTAAAGTATTCTTTCTCCCTTCATCTGGATACCAGGATCCGGAAGCATACCAACGATTTGATCCATGTTTATATAACTCACGTCATTCTCGACAACGTTAAAAATAATTTTTGATGAATCCCAGGATTTTAGGCCAGTAACCTTAATCTCCTCCAGTGTTTCATCAATAGCTTCAATAATGCATACATATTTGAAAATAGTAGAGTTTCTCTTTCCGCCTTTGAACTGCACCAGAATGAACTTTCCTTTAGATAAGTCTGAAAACTCTATTTTTTTCAGCTCTATTTCTGGGGATTCTTCATCTGCCCACTCTATTTCTTCATCAGTATCACCCAGACTTATTTCACCATCGGAACTTTCCAAAATTATTTCTCCCCTTATTTTTTTCAATTTTGGTGCTGACTTGTCAACAGCTTTAACATCTGCCTTTTTTTTTCCTTTGCTTTTTTTCTTTTCCTCCGCTTCTTTCAGTCGATCCAAAACTTGATTTGTTGTTAAGACCTCCCCATATTGCTGCTGCTTTAATCTGGGCATAACTTGTTTTTCTGCTTTAATGGCGTCTTGACTAATGTTAACTTGTGGAATAAAAATGTTAGTAATTCTATTTGATTGATTGTCGGACGACGATGTTGATGGCTGTGGACTGACGGTCGATGGAGTTAAAAGCTGCTGCTGGCAGTGTAGTGGTGACGTTGAAGGCGGATGATGGTGTGTGGCCAATGACGTTGAATTTAATTGTCTGTTGCCAAATCCTGAAGACGTTGAAGGGAGTTGATCGTCGACCGTAAGCTGGGATGGCTTGGACCCAGAAGGTGGAATAAAATTTAATTTATGACAGAGTATGGAGATGCTGGTTTCAGTAGACCTTGGAGTATTTGGAGCCGACGGAACAGGGTGATCCTTACAGGCAGCTTCATATTTGGCCAAGTCTTCAGTGGTAAATTCATCTTGAGGAAATTTTGAAGCATCGACTGGGTATACCCCAGTACTTTTAAAACCGGATATAATGTTTTTCGATACCATGGATTCTTGCCATGTAATGCCCAACAACTCAGTAAACTTTTCCTTGGTTAACCTTCCACAACCTCGTCCCATCTGTTCCCTACCAAATTTTAATAATTGCTTATTCCAATTTATTTTCAAAGGCCCAAATACACACTTGTCTAGAGGCTGTAATTTATCTGTAAGGTGACTTGAAAACTTCACTAAGATGATATTATGTTTAATTGCTTCTTCGATTATTCTGACGCTAATATGGCTGGAGTGTCCATCATATAATAAAAGAGCTGCTTGATCTGGAAGGTTCTTGGACATTCTTAAATTGATAATGTGAGGTATGAAGCCAGCTGTGAACCAATGAAAAAACTGTGGCTCCTCCATCCAACCATTAGTGGAGGCTGCATATAATGTTCCGGGATAGGCATTGGTTGAAGTCCATCGAGCCTGAACTCCAGCTCCCTTAAATACAATTAGCGGTGGAAGTGCTTTCCCATCAGCAGACACACAACCTAGTACCGTGGTGGATTCCCTTCCAGAGCCTCCGGATACACGACACAGAGCCTTTCCTTTTATCCCAATTGCCCTAATACGAGCGGGATCATTATTAAATCCCGACTCGTCAGCATTAAAAATAAAGCTCTCTTTATCATCGCTTAAATCGTTTTCATCAACAACTTTTTTTAGGTTTTCGAAAAAATTGTAGATAATTTCGGGCTTTCTCGCATCCTTTCTTAATTTTTGCAAGTGTTCGGGTTTTTTTAAGGAAAGTTGAGGATGTCTTTTCATAAATAAATAATACCAATCCTCTCCTGGTACTCCATTATTGAAAGGTGTCTTTAAACCTTTTTCATTAACATATTCTCCAACCAGTTTCCTTAGTTCTGCTTTGTCACATGGTAGACCAATTTTAGTTCTTGTTAATAAACATTTAACAATTTCGTTTTCAATGGCAGGGGATAAAACTTGTGAGCGGCCAGCCTTTGTTACGGTTAGAGCAGTCTTCCTTCCTCCTATTCTTTGATAAATAACTGATTTTGGAACGCCATAAAAAGCTTCTGCCTGGCGATAACTTTTATTTCTATTTTGAACATCAGCAACGGCATTTGCGACATCTTCAGGAGTGTAGGAAGGTGCTTCTTTTTTTCGCAAATAATTTCGTGGCATATTTCACACTGCAACAAAATACAAAAATTGGTCAATTTACATAAATTGTTAATAAATCATACATTTAATTACGTTTACAATTGCCCCAAAAGTGCGTTTACATTTCCCCCAGTGACAAATTATACTGGGGTAAATGTAAACGCTAAATAATTTTGTCAGTATCTTATCTTTGATAACTTTTTAAGCGTTAAAATGACCATAATAGTATTAAATATTATTCCAAAAAAAAAAATCCAACTTACCTTTAAAATTCACCACTCAAAAATCTCGTGCTCTACATCAATGTAAAATCAGTAATCAAGCCAAATTGCATCATCACACTAAAACGGTTGACACGCGTACAAACGTTTGAATTTCGGAAGGAGCCGAATATACCCGAACTCGACATTACTCGGGCAATAGATTTCGCGCCGTAATTTAAATGGAAACGCTGTTGTGTTTTGTATTTTGGGTGGGTTTACAATTGCCCCTGTTTACATTTACCCCAAACGACCCTATCCCAGGACATACAGTGTGGAAACCTTAACTGGAATAAATTCTGTATTTTGAAAACCACTTATTTTTTAAAAAAATCCAAAAACAGGTCAATTTATACATTTACCTGGGTAAATTGTGGTAAATCTTAAAAATATAAGAAACCACCCTTTGAGGGTGCAACCAACCCTAACTTTTTTTTTCAAATGCAAGGTATATCAAGTGATACATTATTTGCAAGCTTGTTTTAATAGGAATTCATAAAAATATGCAATTTTTAATTATTTTATTTTTGTACAATATAAATAATAAAAACTTCATTTTATGATAAATATGGATTTATTATAAAAGATGTTCAAAATGAGCTCCTCTGGTTTCTTGACAAAATCCTAGACGATTATAAAATTCATTTTTAACCTTTTCCAACATCTCAGGTAATATTAAAGAAGTTTCGTGTCGGATACTCTCTTTAAGATCTTCAATATTAGTTGGTTTGGTTACATAAACTTTATTTTTAAGGTAACCCCACAGGAAAAAATCCAACGGGGTAAGATCTGGAGATCGGGCTGGCCACTCAACTGCACCTCTTCTACCAATCCACCGATTAGGAAATATTTCATTTAGGTATCGACGAACGGGTAATGCGTAGTGCGGTGGAGCTCCATCTTGCTGAAACCAGACTCTATTATCTGGTAAGTCTGGATCATTCTCGTTTGGAAACTGAGCTGCCAAATATGGTATAAGATCTTCTTGAAGAAAAGTTAAGTACCTTTCGCCATTTAGAGTTTCGTTTAAAAAGGCGGGACCAATTATTCTATTACCAATTATTCCAGCCCAAACATTTACCTTTTGTGGATACTGTGTATGATTTTCTTCAATCCAATGAGGATTGCTGTCGTTCCAATATCTACAATTTTGACGATTAACTTCACCATTTAAAGTAAACGTACTTTCATCGGAAAATAGTATCCAATCCAAGGAAATTTGGTTATCAGGTTCATCATTTGCTCGCAAAATTCAATTCTGCGATCGGTATCATCTCCAATTAGTTCCTGTACTGCTTGCATCTTATACGGATGCATTTTTGAAGCATGTAGTAACTTCATTACAGTGGTATGGCTCAAATCGTTCTCGCGAGCAATTTGTCGAGCTGAAGTAACAGGATTTTCTTGGATTGCTAATAGTACATTAAGCTTCGTATTGTCTTCAACGATAGGCTGGCGTTGTCTAGGAATATTTCTTACATGACCATTTTCGTGATATTTTGCTTCTAAAGGGTTATCCAAGTTCAGCTTGAGAAAGTAAATTAACAAAAAACACAGTAAAGATTTAGATTGCGATAAAATTTTTATTTCATTATAAAGTCTGGTTAATGGCATTAATTGTGAAACAAAATATCATTTAAATGTCCTCCACGGGATCTCCTGCAGGACTCAATTCTTTTGAGGTAATTTTCTATTACTTTTTGGCACATTTCAGGCAATATCTCGGCCATTACTTGACGGATATTATCTTTCAACACGTCAATTGTTAGAGGGTTGTTGGCATAAACACGATCTTTTGCATAGCCCCACAAAAAAAAGTCCAATGGCGTTAGATCACAAGATCTTGGTGGCCAATTCACATCACCCAATCTCGAAATTACTCGTCCTGGAAACTTATCTTGCAACAAAGCCCGATTATTTCGTGTTGTGTGACATGTGGCCCCGTCTTGTTGGAACCACGTATTGGCCAGGTCCATATCTTCAATTTCATGCCAAAAAAAATCGGTTAACATACGGCCATATCGTTCGGAATTGACGGTAACGGTTCTTCCTTGATCATCTTCGAAAAAATATGGTCCAATGACACCACCAGACCATAATGCACACCAGACAGTCACTTTTTGTGGATGTAACGGCACTTCAACAATTGCCTGTGGATTTTCGGAGCCCCAGATACGGCAGTTTTGTTTATTTACGTATCCACCGAGCAAGAAATGGGCCTCATCGCTGAAGAAAATTTTCTTTGAAAAGTCTTCATTTAGTGCTTGTTGTTCCAGTACCCAATTGGCGTATGTTCGACGCTGTCCATGGTCTGTAGGCTTTAGTTCTTGTGTGAGCTGGACTTTGTACGGATGAAAATGCAAATCCAAATGCAAAATACGCCATACCGACCCGTAGGATAAACCCAATTGCTGAGCGCGCCGTGTAATTGATAATCTTGGGTTTTCAGTCACACTTGCACTAACCGCAGCGATGTTTTCAAGAGAACGTGTATTCCGATGGTGCACTGGTCTTATAATATCTGTCACCGAACCATTCCGTTCAAATTTATTTACAATGTTTAAAATCGTTTGTTGGGAAGGGCGATTATGCCGACCATAATCTGGTCGTAAAGCACGATATGTGGCCACGGCAGAATTACCATTTTGGTAGAACAATTTAACAATTTTTAAGCGCTGAGCGATGGTTAAATAATCCATATTATAAAATGGCAACTATTCAACTACACAAATATCTGTTTTACGCACATGCGCAGTTGGTAGTTTTCGTATGTACAGCGTGTACTTTCTCAAGCACGAAATGGATGACCCTTTACTTTACTAACAGTCCCTTGGCAAATGTGAGGCAATTCTGTATTTACCAAATAATTTTATTTTTGGAGCTTAGTTCCGTTTAGATAAGCGGCATAAAAAATATTGTTAAAATTAATATTGTATTTTTTTATAAAGAAAAATTTCTTCCGCTTTTTGAGCACTAATAAAAATAGGACAAACCTGTTTTCCTATTTTCCGGGAATCTTTACAATTTAATATATTATTGATCTGTTTAATAATATTAAATAAAATCAATTTTATAAATTTAATTAAAATAATTTTATTTAGTTTTAAATGCTTATTGCATGTAAATTGATTTTCTTTGAGGCTCTCAAAAACTCTTGCATATATTTTTTTCATGCAGATTTTTTTTTAACAATAATAAAATTTTAAAATATATACAGGGTTTTCATTTTAAAACGAACCACCTTAAATATTTTTTAAATTAAAAGAATTTTAAAAAATCCAAAAAATACGTCGAGTTATATAAGAAGGGGGAACCTTTATCACATTATTTAATTTAATCTAGTGCTCACCCCCTCGCGCCCACCCCACTTTAAAATTTCAAATGGCACCCCCTACAAGTGACACCTCATTTTGAAGAGCATAAAATTCTCTATCCAATGGTGTGAAAAAATAGTAAATCGGATGGCTATTTAAGGATCTGGAAGATAAAATGTGTGCTGTAAATCGAAAAAAGTAAAAAGGTTTGTATATTTTTATTTTTAAATTGAATACATTTTTTACTTTATAAATTGTTCGAAATGTTCGCCGTTTTTCGCTAGGCAATAGTAAAGTCGATCTTGAAATTCTTCGCGAACACGGGCTAAAGTTTGAGACGAAATACTTCTACACTCTTGTGATATCCGGTCCTTCAGTTCCTGTATACTATCAGGTGGAGTTGTGTATACTACCGTCTTTAAATGGCCCCACAGAAAAAAGTCTAGGGGAGTCAAATCAGGAGACCTTGCTGGCCATTCCATTGCACCTCTTCTACCAATCCATTTGCCGGAATACTGCTGATTTAACCACTCTCTAACTGGTCGTATAGGACGACCAAAAGCCCCGCCCCTCAGCTGCGGTGGAGGCAGTTCTGGTAACACTAGTTGCAGTTGTGGGGATGGTGGTTGCGGGGATGTCGTTGTTAAGTCCACAGTTTCCCTAAACAGAAAAAAAAATATTATAAAATTAAATAAAGAAGTTGGATAATATATTACATATTTTGCACCTTCTCAAAACACTCAAACAAGAAACAAAAACTGTCTCCGCAAACTCTCCACTGTTCTGCCGAAAAATGATTTAAATATCTGTAAAAAAATGTATAAATTAAAAAAATAAGAGTTTTAAACATTAAATATATAACTTACTCCTCCATCAGTGATTATTATAGATAAATACAAATTATATACTAGGTATACCTAGTACCCACGTATATCAATATTGATTAAAATAAAATTATTTTAAATTGTTGAAATAGGTACGTACAAATAAAAATATAATGTACCTACTAACAGATAACAGCATTTTTATTAAAAATAAAACCTAGTTAAACTTATACCCTTTTATTTTTATTAAATTTGTACATTTTTTTCAGAATTTTTGCTTTAGTCCTGTACCAATGCCTAAGCGTACATATATCTCTAAATCCATGTAATAACTCCTCGATGGGTGTCAATAATTCCCGTTTAATTCAAGTTTAACACATCGGTCGTGAATATCCATTTCCAGTGTTTTGGAACTTAATTGTAACTTCATATTAGTTTTTGTAGTCGTTCTTTTAAATGGAGATTCTTCTTCATAAAATTCAGAATAAATCGAGTTTGCCTCTTTTAAAAAATTATTTTCTGCCTATATTTCTGTATCACAGCATATATTCGTAATACAGTGCTTAAAATTAACGGTATTTTTTTGGGTCCATCCGGTTATTATAAACAAACCTTCTCTTATGAGTTTTTTTTCTCAACAAATTCACACACATAATTAAATCACTGCTCATCTTGTTTTCTTGAATAAACAGACTTTAAATGATTATTGTACGTAAAATCTGTATTTATATATAAATTATTTAAAATCATTTAATAAAACTACCTTACTTATATCGTTTAAATAACGTTTACCCAACTTATTTCAGGACGCTTAATTATTGGTTAATTCCCATCTTTAGCGCGTAAATAGAATTTTAATTACTTTTTACCTCTAAGCATATCCATTAGGGTGGAGCGAAAATGGCAAAAAAAATTTTTTTTTAGAGTTTGTTTTCTCCTATATGCGGAAAAGTGGCTACATGGAGGGTCAATTTTATGTAAAAAATCTGAGCCTGATATGATAACGTTTTCCGGTGCCCCAAGCTCTTCTAATATATGACTTTTTAGACAAAATAGACTCCAAAATAGATAGACATATTATGCAGCTCTTCGCTTGTTATAACATCAAACAACCCAGAACTCACCACGAGGAGGTGGCTGCATGTCGAGTTCCATCCACCCACCCTCCCTAGCTATTTTGGTTCTTTAAATCAAGGTATTTAAAAAGTCAGATTTAGTTTCAAATTTTGGCAAAATTTCTCTAGAAGCTATTCGACATCTAATAAATCCATCTCTTGCTTCTTGTCCACAAACAGATGATGAGGCTTCTGTAACTAACTTTACACACCTTTCTACAGCTTGTGTGTGACAAGGGACATTTAAAAATGACATTTGGTCTGGAACATTAGAGATCATTTCTTCAAGTTCATGTACAGAAAATTTCTTAGTGATTGGTGGCTCAGTAATAACAGCTGATTGCCAGTTTATTAGCTCAAAGTACTCACTAGCTTCAAAATTAATCTCTGGTATTTTGAACTTTCGTATTTCCGTCTCAACATTAGCTCTAGACTTCAAAATGCGCCTCAACCCCAGTTCTCGAAAATGAATGCGCGAATCAGCAAGCATTGCTAACAAGATATTTTCTGGATGTGCAAAATATCCATTAATTTGAATTATTTTGTCAACAATATCTCTCAAATGACATGGCATATATCGAGACCGCTTTATTAGGTTTAGTAAATGTCGTGGACCATATTTAACCTCAGGACATACTTTAATCGAAAACCATGTTGGAACATAAACTTTCAAAATATATTCTGTTAAATACTTCAAATTTTCAGAAGGGTCTGAGGTTGCCACATACAGGCGCAATACCCTATTCGCGGTAGTTAACCACCTTGAGTGAGCCATTTTTCCAGGTTGTGTGTTAGCCAGACCTTCCGATATGTCACCACTCGATATAGACAAGCTTATGTTATATAAATATTTCTGGTCTGTACTTAACAATTTCAAATCAATTTCAGGAAGTTCTGTTGGAATTCTTTGAAAGTCTGTGACGGGTAAAAGTTCGCAAGATTGTAATTTTTTTCCGATTTCGCCAGAAAACCCAGAGGGACCAGTGGTTTCCCCATCCAAATGTTTCATTAAATGGCGGAGAGGTAGTTCATTTGCATGCAACATACAAATAAACCACTGTAGTGGCCTTCCAAGGTAAAGCTCTAGCCTTCTATTCACACCATTGTGAATTCCAGTATTTACAGCAGTCCCGTCGCATCCAATAGCAACTAAATTCGTCAGATCCATTTGTTGCTGGAGAAACTCTATCAAGTTTTCGGAAATTGCTTTTGCTGTGCCACATGGAACTGTTATATGACCAAAATATTTAGATCCGGGTTCTGAAACAATTACAATATGTTCTTCGCTAACTGTTGTTCTGTGATTTTTATTACCAATTGAACGCTGAACCAAGGTATTATCTTTTCGTCCGTCGAAATAAATGGCTTGCGAGAAGACTTTATCTTGTTTTAGCTGAGATCTTAAAGTGCTTCGTGTTCTTTTTCTCTCTCTTCTTATCTTACTTCTATCTATTATTTTCGAAGCTTCTTCTGAGGTTATCAGTCCAATATCTTTTAATACAGCAGAAGCAATAATGGCAGCGGATCTATCAGAAACACCCGTTCTATCGCAGGCTTGTGCGAGACTTGGTAGTTTTATACGCATTTGTTTAGAACTTACTTCTACTTGTGAACTAGCTTCTTGCTTTGCATTAAAAGCGCAGTAATTATAAGTTGTCTTTTCACAATCTAATGGCAGTTCTATTTCTAGCACACTGGAGGTAGAAGTGGAAGGTAGGGATCTTACTTCTACTTGTGGACTAGCTTCTTGCTTTGCATTAAAACCGCAGTCATTATCAGTAACTGTTGTCTTTTTAAAATCTAATGGCAGCTCTATTTCTAGCACACTGGAGGTAGAAGTTGAAGGTAGTGATCTTTTTTCCAAGTCTTTTCGATGTAAAGATCGTTGTATGCTTTTGGTGGCTAGTGGATCAATAGAGCCGATGAACATTTTTCTATCAGTTCTCTGGTCTACTAAAAATTCTCTTTCTCTAACTGGCACTTTGTTTTTACACTTACACAACGAAAAGTCCACGCACTTGCAGGACGAAATATCAAAAAGCTTTTTTTCTGCAATGTCTCTAAATTTTATTACTTTTTGTCTAAGGGTATCATTATATCGGGATTTTAGGGGCTTTTTGAGATTCCTCAATTTTTCGTGATATTGTTTTATCATATGTAAAATTTGTTGGTCGGTTACCACAGGAACAGACGCCTTAGCCCAAATAACTTTCAGCTCCTCTATTAAAATGTCTGCAATGTTACCTAGGGTTGGTTCAGCTCCATTTGGAGCTGACCCCATTAACGTTTGCCGTATATATAAATAACTCTTGATCACATCTGCATATGTAGGTAACACGTTTTTCTTCAACATGGAAGGAGCCCCAAATACAGGGCACTCAGTGTCTTTCCTAGTATTTGGCATAGTTAACATACACTTACTCGAATAAAAAAAATCGCCAAAATGTCACCAAGGTACTCGAAATACAAACACGCGACTTAAAACAATTGTCTTATGAATATTGACAGCTTAAACGCACATACACGTACAACACTCGCTGGAAAACTAATGAAATGAGCTGCGTGCTTGGTTTCCTGTCAGTCTGCGCCGCGCCCAAATTTAGAGGTGGGGGGGGCACCGCTAAACGTTATCCTATCGACTTCAGATTTTGCAGGAAACTATGATTACTTAGTCCACCACTTTTCCGCGTATAGGCATTTGAGATATTAAAAGTTGGATTTTTCACTCCACCCTAATATCCATGTCTCCCTTCATTTTGAATTTATTATATTTTGTAAAAAGTTTTTTCACTCGGATGTTGTTTGAAAATGCTGAACTTAGATTTTAATTGGTTCAGGAGTAGATGAAACCTGCAAGATAAAAATGTACATTAGAAAATTTTAAAATGTAAATAAATGATTAAGTTGAGTTAACTGTTGTCGAAATGCCGAGCACAAGTGATGGGATCGGATCGGTTTGGATCAGACGACATTTTTCTTCTGATTTCAAGTTCAGCGCTTCCGTTTCGATCAAGTGTTTGCGGCCCACCACTTCGCTAAGTATGACCAGTAATTCTGGCCACAGGGATTCGGCGGCGCTGATCGTGATGAAAAACTTGGGCGCGCCAAATTGACGCAGCATCCCCATCAGCTTGTTCTTTTGCAGTTCCCAGTAAGCAGGTGCCGATGGAACTCATACAAAAAAAAACCCAAATCACTGATCTTGTTTGATCTGCTGCTTAAGGTAGTCGATATTCATCACGTCGGCCACCGTGTGTCTTCTGCTGCTTCTGTCATCCAGTTTTCTTATGGCCAATTGGTGACTAGCAGTTGTTTTTTCTTGAACACGAAGAGCAAGAAATCGGGCCGTTCGAACCTGCATTTGCCGACTGCAGTTTTGCTTGGTTGTGGTAGAGCATTTTGTTACTAAATGCTTTTTTGTTTCCAGCAAAAATGGTTGGAAATGACATTTTCTCGGCCCATTCGACAATCTTGGGAATTTGGTTTTCCCCGGGTGCCATAACAATGTTTGCCAGCAGGTCACGATCGTCCAGTAATTTTTCTTGGCCGCCTGGATTAATCAGTTTGTTTTCATACTCACGATCGAATTCGGACTCCGCTGTCTGTTTGGCCGGTTGTTGGGGTGGCGGTATTTCCGCAACCTGTTTCTCTAACACGTGCCACAATTGAGAGATCGTACTAAAAGTTTTATCAACATCGACGTTATCGTTGTTTATGGTCGTGGAGAAGTCGTGTTTAAAATATTGTAAAATTATGTAATAACATTTACTGGATGATGATGTACCACTGAATGAACAAGATATATGCCAAACTTAGATAGGCATTGTGCATTACAATTTAAAGTTAAATTTCATCAACAATATCCAATTGCATGTTATATTACCAAAACAAGTTTTGTCAATTATATTTTGATCACTTTCATCACTTGAAATATAACTATAATCCATGATTCTTAAATCCGATTTACTAGCACAAATTGTCAATTTGTTAAAACTGCCGTTTTGCTAAAATTATTAATTATAAATAAAAATGTGTGTAATTGTTAAATTATTCTTTAATCTGTTCCTTCTTTCATTTCCTCGCCAATTAATATATTTTTAGTATCTTAATGCCTAATTAAATGGAATGATAATGTCACTTATAGGGTGAGAGGAACCTTAATTAACCTGTTGAAACTTAATCATTAGAGAGAATGAGTAAATTGAAAAGATGCGCAGATGTACCAGTTGGAAGGGTCAGTTCATGACTGTGTGAATATGGGGGGCCCCACCTCCCTCTTGTGTTGTATCTATTTGAGCTGTCTTGAGGGCTTGTACGTCAGCACCTTTAATTAATGCTTGTTTTAGCTCATTGTTACCATTAGGGACCAGAATAGTCCCCAACATGTCATTGGTAATGTGAGTTTGTGCCCCTCCGTACATTTTCGATATCATCAAAGCAGTTCGTACAATAGGTGAGGTAGTGTCTGTGTCTTCTACCCCTTTATAGTTTTGGAGGGATTTCATTCCCTCCTGCTTGGCTATTGCAATTGCTATATCACTAAAAATGCTCAGATGTCGTCTATTAAATTCAGTACACTCTTCTTCTGTGTACAATAGTTTACAATAAGGGGCGGATTTTCCTAGCTTAACCCACTTGTCAAAGGCAGCTATCAATTTGTCTGCATGTTTAGCCACTTCGTTCCACGCGAGTAGGATGGGGTTTTCACATAAAATATATCTGAAAATAAGCATAAACATGGACATCTCTGTCCCCGCAAGATATACTAGGCTCCTTTTATAAGCCGCAGCCAACAGTCTATTGGTCCAAGATCCGGCAGTATTCTCTATGTCCTTAAAGAGGACTCGGCGGATCTCTCTTTTAGATGATAACCACGCATATGAGGATGCGCAATAAGAGAATCCCGGCTGGATTCTACCCCGAGAGCACTAGCAAATGCCTGCATTCTGCGGGCCATCCAATTAGGGTAACTCATTGAGGTCAAGGCTCTCCCGAGAAAGCATGCATGAAGCCCAACTAGAGCGTATACGTGGGACATAGTTAGTCCTGCATAAGGCTCAACATCTTCGAGATCGACGTCTTCAAATTGACCACTGTCGCCTGCCCAAGTTGTTAAATCGACATTTTCGTCTATCACGAACTGGAAACTTTCTAGAACTGCCCTTAACTTTTTTGAGCATTGGGGGAACACATAATGATGTATGTTAATATACAGTTGGGCTGCATTAAAGAAACTCACGTCGTTATTGCTGGCTGTCAGCATTAACAACCTCTTGATAAAATAGAGATCATCATTCAGATCTTCTTCATAGATAAAGAATGAAAACTGAGTTTTAGTCATAGGTCTAATGGTTGGTGGTGCATTATCTTTGACCCTGTCGGCGGAAAAGACAGTCGTAGAGGTTTTTGCAAGGGCTTTAGCTGTGAGTACTGCATTAGTCAACCGAAAACTGCCTGTAGTATCCATATCGAATTTTTTGACCTCTAGTGGTGGTGTTAGCAATGAGTTAAGGTGAGCGAGTCCTAAGTCACCGGGATGACAGATAACAGGAAACAGGGAGTAACTGAGGTTCGGTTATCTCTCGATTATTTCACTATATACACTCGTCAGTCCTTGATATCACTTGGTGACGGATATACAGTTAGATTTATAGCTCGTCCCTCAGTCTGTCGAGAATCTGGAAACTATAAAACTCTTATGTTGGTCTTTTTGAAATGCAATTGCAATGTAATATTAATATTGTTTTTGTTTTGAATCTTTTAAAGTCATTATATTTGTTTTTTACAACCATAAACTTAGCAATAGCTACCTGGTGTTTACAAAGTATGTCATCTTTTCCTATAGGACATTCACTATGAGCAAGATTCATATTAAAGAAATACCTAGGAACAAAATGTTTGTTCTTCTCTTTCTATAAAATTGAATTATGGATTATATCGCATTATTTAAAAAAAAAACTATATTAGCAAACCATATTACTTTTGCCTTATGCAAATTTAACAAAGTCAAGTGCTTGTAACACATTTATAATTATAAACTTTTACTCTTTAAAGTACAGGGTGCGGCAAAAGATATAGTGCAATTTAAAAGGGCTTTAAAAAAAACCAAAACCAAAACAAGTTTTATCAATTATATTTTGATCACTTTCATCACTTGAAATATAACTATAATTCATGATTCTTAAATCCGATTTAATAGCACAAATTGTCAATTTGTTAAAACTGCCTTTTTGCTAAAATTATTAATTATAAATAAAAATGTGTGTAATTGTTAAATTATTCTTTAATCTGTTCCTTCTTTCATTTCCTCGCCAATTGCAATGTAATATTAATATTGTTTTTGTTTTGGATCTTTTAAAGTCATTATATTTGTTTTTTATAACCATAAACTTAGCAATAGCTACCTGGTGTTTACAAAGTCTGTCATCTTTTCCTATAGGACATTCACTATGAGCAAGATTCATATTAACGAAATACCTAGGAACAAAATGTTTGTTCTTCTCTTTCTATAAAATTGAATTATGGATTATATCGCATTATTTAAAAAAAAAACTATATTAGCAAACCATATTACTTTTGCCTTATGCAAATTTAACAAAGTCAAGTGCTTGTAACACATTTATAATTATAAACTTTTACTCTTTAAAGTACAGGGTGCGGCAAAAGATATAGTGCAATTTAAAAGGGCTTTAAAAAAAACCAAAACCAAAACAAGTTTTATCAATTATATTTTGATCACTTTCATCACTTGAAATATAACTATAATTCATGATTCTTAAATCCGATTTAATAGCACAAATTGTCAATTTGTTAAAACTGCCTTTTTGCTAAAATTATTAATTATAAATAAAAATGTGTGTAATTGTTAAATTATTCTTTAATCTGTTCCTTCTTTCATTTCCTCGCCAATTGCAATGTAATATTAATATTGTTTTTGTTTTGGATCTTTTAAAGTCATTATATTTGTTTTTTATAACCATAAACTTAGCAATAGCTACCTGGTGTTTACAAAGTCTGTCATCTTTTCCTATAGGACATTCACTATGAGCAAGATTCATATTAACGAAATACCTAGGAACAAAATGTTTGTTCTTCTCTTTCTATAAAATTGAATTATGGATTATATCGTATTATTAAAAAAAACTATATTAGCAAACCATATTAATTTTGCCTTATGCAAATTTAACAAAGTCAAGTGCTTGTAACACATTTATAATTTTAAACTTTGACTCTTTAAAGTACAGGGTGCGGCAAAAGATATAGTGCAATTTAAAAGGGCTTAAAAAAACGGAGTAACTTGCAGCATTGAGGTTTTTTTATTTTATTTAGTACATCATGCCATTTTATTTAGGTTTTAAAACCTAACGTCCGAAAGATGATGGTCCCCAACAGCGATACATTGAT